ATTCTGCACTCCTTTCTAAAGTGCAGAATCTTTGGAAAATATTACCTCAGATTTCTACTGGTCATGTTGGGAAGCAGATGACATAAAGGGACCAAAATCATAAGATTCTGCGGTCACATAGTTTATTTCTCCCGAGAGAGCCCTTGAGTAATCCCAGAGAGATGAAATCTGCCCTCATTTTAGCCTTGGCTCAAAACCTCCCTTTGAAACCTCACTGCCTGGTCTTTATTGTGACATTGTTCCACACTGTGACTCTGAGGCCTTGGGAACACAGTGTGTAAAGGTCTGTCTTTTCTCTTTAAAAAAAATTGTCTATTGTATTTTTTCCATTGCATGTCTTTTCATCTTGCCCTAAACGTAGAAAAGGGACATCTGATCCCCACTGAAACATCGGGTAACAACCTATTGTGTAACTGAAGTTCAAAACCATGACTGGGTGGCTACTCAAGTTTCCCCATCAATGCTGACCAAGGTCAGATCTTGGCTTTCGGGGACCATAGGGTATTCTCTGTATCCCCCCAATGCCTCTCTGTGTTTCCTCACCCACAAATTGGGGCAGTAACACCAGTCCTGCTTATCACCAAGTTCAGTGACAGAGATTAATCAGATCAAGTTCAAGGCTCACTCTTTATTTGGAAAAGAAAGATGAATGTACCAGGTGGTGCTATTACCTTGAGAACTTAACAGGGAACAACACAGCCTGGAAAGGCTTCAAAGTCAAGACCGGACCCCGAGTCTGGTTCCTGAAGCACAGTGAGGACAGTACGTGCTGGACAAGGGGGTGGGGGAAGGCCCACACTGGGGACTGGTCAGTGTCCCAGCAGTAGGGTGTCTAGTTAAAACCATGAGAGCTGGTTTTGTTGAAATCCCGGTGACATCAGGATAATTTTAAACTGCTTTGGGGCTTAGGTGCTAAGGGAAATATAAAAGGACACAGGTATTCTTTTGCTTTGTATTCAGGCTGCAGGGTGTTTTGAATGAACTGGGGAGAATGCAGTGTGGTCATACTGGGGACAGCAGAGGTGGCGTTAGCAAGCCTCCTTCAAGGTGTGCAGGACATGGGTGAAGACGAGGCTCATACCATGTGTTAGTAACTGACGTGGCCTTAATGGCTCCGATATTCCTAGAGGGTCCCTGAAATAAGCAGATTCCAAGGAGGCTGGGCAGCAGGTTCCAGTAATAGCAAGTGAAGCAAAGAGCTCACGAGAGACATCCCTCCTGTTCATTTGACCCTCTTTGAACTCCAGCCTTTACTATGGCCCAGGAAAACACAGACCATACATTTTACTTTCTTTTCCTCCCCAGACTATAAATTTTAAATTGGCACTTTATATACCAATATAAATCAACATTGTGTATGTAATGTGTGTTACATACATTACGTATATGTATATATTACATGTTACACATGTACAATATCCATAATATATGCACACACGATATATCACATTGTTTATTACATATATAATATTACGTGCATGTTAAAAGCAACCTGGGGCACATGCTGGACATCGTGTGTGCAGCCACATCTGGGAGGATTTGCCATCGCAACACTTCCAACAGGTTTACATACGTCAGAGTGTCTCAGACTGCGTTAGCTGCCTCCCTGAGTGACTGCCACAGTGTCAGTCCAGACTCTGGGCGAGGGACAATTGCCCCAGCTTACCAGATACTGGGAACTGTTCTCTAGGAAAGTGAACCCAGTGCTGGTCCACAGGTCATCTAACCACAGTCACGTGTTGAGGGCAGAGTGCTGGTGTCAGCCTGGACCCCGTGGACATGTCTGGGGCATGAGGTCAGGGCTCCATCTGCCGGGGGGTGGGAGGGTGGGTGCACAGCGTGTGGAGCACTGCTTCTCCAACCTCAGGGGGCCCATGCGTCGGCTGTAGATCTTGATAAAATGTGGCCGTCCGTCTTGGGAGGGGTCCAAGATTCTACGTTTCTACCAGAACCACACCTGGGGAAGCAAGGACAACGTGTTACAGACAGAAAGGATGCTGGCACTACATCTGGCCAATGGGCCAGCGGCCTGGAGGGAAGCCGATGTAAGAATGGAGGCGGAGGAGAGGCGAGCCGATGGGCAGGATGTGGTACAGCCACCTGCACTTTCCTGAACGCAGCCCAGTGAGTGCCCAGAGCTACTTCCAAATAGCACAGAAGTGGAGGTTCCTGATAAGAGAAGCTTCTTTTGGAAATTGGGGTGTTGTCTTCTAGATGATACACTGAATAGATTAGAAAGGTGTGAAATAGGTCATAGAAATATTTCCATCAAAAATTGTTAAGTTAAAAACAAAATGTGGGAGATGCAGGTAGTAAACATCTGTTAGAGAGGGAGAAAAAAAAAAAAACCTCTGCAGATTGGGTAAACAAAGCATTATCTAAATTCGTAAAGCCGTTTGCTAAGCGTCTGTGGTGTCATGTGTTCTGCTGTGGGGAGGTCACATTCCTAAAACATACACGTGTTTCTCTTTCCTGCACCAGCTGATGCCTCTGGCCCTGCCTCCATGCGGTCACCCAGCATTCAGGGACGCGTGGGTCCCAAATCTGCAGGGTTTCTGAATAGAGGCAGCTATTTTGCAAATGTCTGGTAATAGAGCTGGAGCCAAGATTTTTCAGAGAGAATAAGTTGTTTGAGCCTTTAGGAAATGGGGATGGAGTTAGGAGGATGAAAAGAGCTTGTTTTGCGGCTTTGGTTTGGAGGATTTGCTGGGCAGAAGTTTCTCCGTGAGGCCATGCTCCCCACCCGTCCTGGCTCACACAGAAACAGTGGCATCTGTTCTGCACGTTGGGGTTCACTGGAGGGGCCTGGGGGTGTCTCCCTGGGTATTGACGAAAGAAGAGTTATGTTTTCCATGACACAATTATATTAAGACAATGAATTTGTATAAAACTACAGAATCTTTTCAGTTCTTAAAAGAGAGAAACTTGATATTTCCTCCTTGAATATTCTTTTCTTTAAAAAAATGCCAGGCGTTAGGCCTGAAATGGTTGCTTGAAATTTTTGGTCAAGATGATTTGCTCAACGGTGATTTCTTAAAACTCTTGGCAGTCACCAGTGACAGCACCTGTGCCTCTCAAGGTTGGGAAGAAAAATTTCTAAACCCTGTAGGGATTCAGAAATCACACAGCTCTTCCTTCTCTTTCATTGACAAATGTTAGGTTGAAAATACCTTGATAATGCACCTGGATTTCAAATTCAATCCAATTTTTATATCAACTAATAGGAAATAACGGGGAAGCTCTCATTTGCCGAGGGGGCCTGCAAACATGGAACTGTCACCCTGCAGCTGTAGGGACCTCACCAAAGGGCCTGGTTTTGAGACCTGTCGTTAACGGCACGCCTCCGGGGAGCCCCACCACACCTCCCAGCCCTTGGCCCTGCACTGCAGATGCCACTCCTCAGTGCCCGCCCTCTGAGCAGAGCCGCCCAGCTGGCGCCAGGGAGGAGCTTGCAGCCATGCCTCAGGGCTGCTGCAGGACTCAGGCTTCTGATGTGGCGCGGGAGGAGGATGCCCAGCATGGACAGGACCGCATCCTCTGGGTGTTTCCAAACATACAAGCCTTGGTCTCACCCCCAGAGATTCCCCCTTCATCAGTCTGGGTGTAGCCTGGGCATCAGGATTTCTGAAAGCACACCAGGGGGCTGTGACAAGCACAGTGTGGGGGCCACTCACAAACTCTCTGGGCTGTAGGACTGTTCATTTCCAATTCTGTCGGCAGTGCCCAGTGGTGTTACAGAGTGGCTGTACCCACGGACCTCCCACGAGCAGCCCCTGGGCATTGCTCCTGGCCATGCTTTGGGTTTTATCCACTGGGGGGTGTGAAATGGTCTCTCGGGGAGATTGTAACGTGCATTGTCTTGTCTGCTGATGGCACTGAGCATATTTTCAGGTGTCCATTGCCCTTACTTCTCTTCGGTGAAATACCTGTTCAGGTCTCTTGCTCATTTTTTATTAGGTTGTTTGCCTCTTCCACATTGATTTGTAGACATCTTTTATTCTGGACGTTAATCCTCCGTCAGTCTAGTGTGTTACAGGCATCCATTCCCAGGCCATGCCTGTGTTTTCAGCATCATGTAGTGTCTCGATGGACAAGAGTTCTTAGTTTTAATGCAGTTGAATTTATTCATGGCTTTAAAAAAATAGTTTGATCTTTTATTTATCTTTAAAGAATTCTTTTCTACTCTGAGGCCACAATAATATTTATATACTTTCTTTTTCCTAAAAAAATTTTAAAGTTTGACCTCGTTCATGTTTAAAAATTTACTTTTGTCAATGACTGATTTTGGTGTATGAAGGTTAGGAGGTAGAGACCTGTTTTCATTTTTTTCCAATATCATAGCACACGAGACTGAAATTTGTTCTTCAGAGAAGTGTAAATACTATCACTTCTCACCTACATAACACCTTCCTCATCCTCAGAATAGCCTACTTTTCTCATGCCCTTTTTAACAGATAGAGAAACAAGCTCCAAGAGGTTAAGTCACTTGCCCAAGGTCACCAGGGTTCAGATGTGGGCTGGTCCCAGAGTCTGTGCCTTAACTGCTGCGCATTTGCCGTGTCTCTAAATGACTACACATTCTGAACCTTTGTAGTGCTTCGCTATTGATTATTAACCACTGATGTGTCTACTGTATTGATAAACTATATAGAAGTATAGGTACACAAATTAAAAAGCAGAAGACAGTTGGATGTTTCCTAAATGATGCCCTTTTAAAACATACTCTATTGGCCTGGCCAGTGTGGCTCAGTTGGTTAGTGCATCATCCTGTAACCAAAGGGTTGGGGGCTTGATTCCCAGTCAGGGCACATGCCTGCGTTGTGGGTTCAGTCCTCGGTCTGGACAAGTACGAGCCCTGGTCCTGGTATGTAGGGGGGGCAGCCAGTCAGTGTTTCTCTCTTGAATCAGTGTTTCTCTCTATCTCTAAAAGCAATAAAAAAAGTCCTTGGGTGAGGATTGAAATACATACATACATACATAAAACACTTTATTTTCCGTATTCAAAAGAATCAAGAACTCCACAGAGGCCTTCAAGTCTCAGAGTCCCCCAGTAAGTGTAAATAGCTTGTCCCTCAGGCCGGTGGGTCAGAGTGTCTACAACTGTACTTCCATGGGCCAAGTTCACCTTGAGAATTAGTGCTGCAGTTCTCGGTTGTTTCTGTAACCAGAAAAATACCACTTGTCTGTATTTTTTTAAATGACTCAGAAGAGACCTGGTGCCTCTCAGCGCTGATGGGGCTGGAGACGCTGGGGGACCCGGTGCCACAGGGCAGGCTGCACTTTGGTTCGAAGGCGCCGTTGGGTTCAGATCAGGTCTCTGCTGCCAGAGGGGTTGGTAGGAGGCCTGCTGAAGTCAGGGCCCAAGGAACATGTCTCTCACTCTTTCCTAAAGGCTGGCGGGTGGGAAGCTGCTCTGAGACAAGAGGGCTTTGTCTGTGGTAAGTGGGTTCTCCTCCAAATAAGTTGGCCGGCCATGTCAGCTGTTGCCAGTTCCAGTGGCCTTAGAGTTCTGTCTAGTGACCTTGTAGCTGAGCACAGACAGAACGGCCAAATGGCTCTAAAATAACTGTGCATTCTGACCTCTTCATCAACCCTCTTCTGAGCACTGCTTCTGGGAGAAATGAGTGGAATGAGACTCAGGCCCCTGAGGCCTTCGTTTCCCCGAGAAGTGACCTGCCTGTCCCCACCGCACCTTGTCACGGTAAGCTGCTGTCTTCCCGACTGCAGCCACATGTCTGCAACGTCCACATCAGCTCCACAGCAGACAGACCCGGTGTGCCCATGTTGGGGTCCCAGCTCATTTTCCACCCCCTGCTTTCACTGACACCAGTGGCCGCCCACACCGGTGGAGCGGGAAGGAGTTGCGTATTTAATGGCTCGCTCTGCTCCCACCTCACAGAATGAGGAGCAAACACAAACAAACTGTGAGATTTCCAGCATGAGACCAAACTGTGGGATGCCAGAGCTCTCTGGAAATCACCATTCCTGAAGATGAGTTGTGAACAGCAAGCCTTTGCTTGACAAATAAAACACTGTTTTACATTGAAATTCCTAAAAGCCGAAAGAAGGTGTGCCTTTGTTTTGTTTATTTTTCCATAAGGCTGAGAATTAATTTATTCCTTTATGTAGAGCAGAAAGGATCTTGGAAGAAGAGATTGGGCTTGACTAATGAACCCGTGCTGGAGAGTAGTTTTGGGGGGTGGATTTCTGCTCCCCACTAATAAGGGGGAGGTGGGTGGCTGCGGGCCTTCCTCTGGGTTTCCTTAGGTAGATGAACCCGATCCTTTTTGACTAAGGAAATTAATTAGGGGCTTAACTAATTATGATCTGATTTTCATATTTTTCTGATTATTTTACTGTAACAGTATCCAAATCTTGTGTGCGAAACAAATCATGTGTTTTTAATTTAGAAAATATAAACACTGTGCATCTAGGTCCCTTCCATTCAGGAACCCGAAGGTGGGCCTGTCCAGGAACAGCCAGGCAGTCAAGGTCAGGGTCAGCACAATAGTGCCAAGATAGTGTTTTCATCCCCTCTGGGGTTGGCTGAAGGAGCAGACTGAAGCCGGGGTAGAGAGGCATCGATGTGGCTGTTCGTAATGACAGACTTGGCAAAAGTAGTGGGCGCAGCCCAGGGGCCTCTCTTCACAGCATGTGAGACCCCGGCACCGCCTGTGTGGCTCAGGAGCAGGATGGGTGCAGTGATGAGAGGGGAGGGCTCGTGACCTGAGACCCACCTGACGTGAAGCACGCTCCTCTCTCCAGGAAGGTAGTCATGCAGCTCACACACTGTCTTGGGCATTCCGTCCCGTTCCTGACAATGTGCGAAACTATTGACTTACGGGGAAACGGAAGCCCAGAGAAGTGGAATGGATTGGAGTTTTGCTTTTTTGGTGGCCAAGCCAAGTCTCAAGACTGCTGCTGTGTGGCCACCCACAGGGTGACACCGCTGTACTTGTGCCTCACGTTGCCTTCACGTCATTTTGTTTGAGTCCCGCTGTGGTAGCCGGTGTCAGGGGAAGCCAAAAGAATACAAAATGAGGGAAATATTTCTTTGGTTACTGGACTTCAGTGCTAGGTAGAAAGGACCAGGGAATACATCATTTGAAGACCAAGAACCAGAGGCATGTCTAAAACCCATTTACTCCTAATCTACACAGGGCTGGCCTCGGTAACTAGACAGGTAGCTTCCATCTGCCTTGCTTCCTTTGTGGGGCTTTGCCTTGAGATTCTTCCTTGAGAAGGAAAAGCGCTCACTACACAGTCCAGTGGCACTTAATGCAAATTTGAGCTACATGAATTTAAAATCGTGTGACCCCAAAGTATTAACAAGTCTCAACTTGTCATCCAAATTTGAAAAATCTATAAACCCCTCAAATTAAAAAAAAAATCACTCAATTTTAAAGCAGAGGTCACTATGAATCGTTGACTGTGTCCACGCCCGTGCAAACAATGGCGTCACTTTCACTGTTGCATGTAGACAGCTGCTTCTCACTCTCCTGGTCACGTGCACCAGAATTTTCTGCAAGGGACTTCAGGTTCTGTTGTGCTGTTTTAATAGTCACTGCTATGCAGACATTTAACTACATTTTGCATCATTTGGCAACATCATCCACGGCGTCATTAAGTCATATTGCCTGTGCAAGTGCCGAAAATCGGGGGTGAACAATCCGGGGTGAAAATCAGTAATTTTGCAGTGGAATTTACATAAAATGCCGTTACATAAGCCAAGCAACTGCTGAGATAGGCTGAGCAGTAAATGCAGTGAATTCCCAAGGGGAGATACTAGAGAAAATAACAAGAAAAGGGAAGAATAAATGTTAGAGAACAAACATGTGACATGTTTGTGGATAAACACATTTTGAGATAATAGTCCCTCTACCTTGTCTTTGACTGTTTTTCCTTCAGAAAACTGAATCATGAAAGCTTTAAATGATACGAGGTTTCACAAATGCATCCTGCAAAAAAAAAAGGAAAACTGACTGTTGTAGGTTTAATTGTATCCCCCCCTCCACAGAAGATGCTGGAGTCTGAGTCCTCAGGGCCTGTGAACATACCTTATTTGAAAATAGGATTGGACAGATGACCTCAAAATGAGCTGAGGTCATCAGGAGGGCCCCTAGCCCAGTGTGACTGGTGTCCTAGTAAAATGGGAATTTGGGTGCACAAATAGGTAGGCACAGGAGTATGGAGTGAAGACGGGGCGAGCAGCATGCTCAACCAAGGAACCCAAGGTCACCAGAAGCCGGAGAGGGGCCGGGGCAGACGGTCCCTCACAGTCCCCAGAGGGCAGCAGCCCTGCTGACCCCTGGGTCTCAGACTTACAGCCTCCAGAACTGTGAGACGATACATTTCTGTGGTCTAAGCCCCCTGCTGGTGGCACTTCGTGATAACGGCCTTTGTGAAATGCCATTTTTGAGAAGGGTTCAAAGATTCCCAATGTTTTGGCTGGCAGAGGACCCTGCGGAACGCCCCCTAGGGGAAGGGTCGCCTGCCTAGTGCCCGTCCTGAGGGAAGGGCCTTCGCTCTTTTGTCACTTGGTGGCAGGGTGACTAGCTCATTAAATGCACTTCTAAGAGACTGGGTGACTCACGGTGGGAAGTGAGGCCTTTGATCGGGGTGCTCACTGGGAGCTGGGAGCATTGCCCTGATGACCAGGCATACTTCCCAGGGTCTGGTTCCCACTTATCACAGACCCAGGGTGCCCAGGTGGGAATACCAGTAAGGTTGCAGTTTGCCTGCAGAGGTCAGAGGCAACATTAATACCCTGCGTTTTCATCAGGACGCAGGTGTGCCTGGGTGCAGACAAGCAGGGCCAGATGGGGAGGGGAGGGCGGAGCTGAGGCGGTGAGGGGTGCAGTGAGAGGAACCATAGTTCAAGGTGCTACATGGAGACAGCATGCCAGGGAGGACAGGGCTGGGGCTTCGGGTGGATGAACACCATGCTGGTGGGGGCAGCAGCAGAACCCCCTGTGTGCTTGGCCCAAGGAAGCTGGCGGTGCCTCCCAGGTAGAAGGAAGAGACCAAGGTGCCAGGAACTCTCTGCCCCGGGCAAGCTTGGAGTCACTTGTAAGCAAGATGGGTCCTTAGGGTGATGCATACATATTTCACAGGCAGGTTGGTGGTTCTGGGGACAAAACCAAGTGGAAGTCACACTGCTGTGATTTCTGAAAGAAAAGCATCTAATGAGGGCTCTGTGGACAGAATACGAAATGGGGATAATCAAGGAGGTTGAGATGCAAACACATGTTGAGCACCGGTGATCCAGTGGGTGCCAGGTTGGTGCTTCTGATTCTCCTCTGGTCCTCATCCCTCCCTCAGTTGTTATGGGAACAAACACGGAGGCAGCAGAAAAGGTGGCGGGGTTCAGGGACTGTGTGTCTTTGGGGCAGCAGGTAATGACAGTGATAGCAGGGACAGCTGTGGCAACCTCAGCTGCGGTGCTGCCTGAGGACCTGCGATGTGTCAGGCTCTGCCCCAGCTATGTCGATTGTCACTGCAGTCACGCAAGGGAGTGATTGCCATCCCTCCCCGTAGATGGCATCTTGCAGATTTTAAATACATGCTATCTGTCACACAGCTGGCAAGCAGACTGTAATAATACACAGTACTCTACGGTGACAGACAGGAAACAGAATGCAGGGGCCTGAGTTTTCCTTATCAGAACTGTCCTCATGAAACTCAAGGTTGGAGCCAGCTGTGACTGGGTTGGGGCAGAGCTGAAGGGACATTTGCTCTGCTTCTCCTAGTGGACAGGTGGTCCATCTCGGGGTGGACATGTGGCCGTGGAAGGAAATGAGAAGCGCAGATTGAGAACGCAAGTGTTGGGGTTACAGGAGGTGTTGCCTCATGGTGCATTTCAGATTCCTGGGTAGGTGCAGGGAATACACATCAGTAGGAAAAGGGAGGGCAGGGCAAGTTCACGGTCGCCCTGCACGGTCAGGTTCACTTGTTCTTACTGTGCATTGCTGTCCCTGTAAGCTTGAAATTTTGAGGCCATAGAGGTGAAATTTCAGAAATGACCCCTTTGCTCATTTATTGCAAATGCGAGAGGAAGGTTTCCTTACCAGACACCATTACAGGGAGGTCACTGGCTTCAGAGTTCCTTCTTTGCTCCTTTCCTCAGAGGCTAAAAACTTGTGGAGTTTGGCGTATTTGCAGGTGAAGTTGTTAGCGGCCCTTTGGGTGATAAAGGGGAGGGATCTGCCTTGAGAGTACGCTCTCCCAAGTGGCCGCAAGTCTTCAGTTCAAATGGACCAGTGATGAATGTGTAGGTCGGCAGCCGAGTTGGATAAAGAACCTGGTCAAGGGCAAGGCGAATCCGAGGGGGGGCCTGGGGAGGCCATGTGAGGGTCAGGATGGTGCAAATGCGCGTCGGGCCCAGAGGAACCAGACAGGGGCTCCTTGCTTGGGACCACAGAGGTGGCGCTATTAGCGGGGGAGGCCACAGGGCAGGGAGGACGGACAGGAACGGAGAAGATCGCCCCAACTACTCTCTGGCTTGCGTCACTCATGGCCACCACTAATCCTACAGGCCGCTGTATCAGTTTTCTGTGGCTGCTGTCAAAGCGACTCCAAGCCCGGTAGCTGACAACTGGAAATTCTCTCGCAGATCTGGGGCCAGAGGTGGTGGGGGGAGGTTCTGAGTAGCTTCCTGCAGCTGCTGGCAGCCAGAGCCCTGGTGTAAGGACTGTGTCACCGCAGTCTCTGCCTGCTCTCCGTGTGTCTTCTGTCCCTTGTAAAGTCACTTGTCACTGGATTTAGAGCCCCCCCCCCCTGCCCTGAGTAATCCGGGATGATCTTATCTCAATATTTTTAATTTAATTATTTCGACAAAGACCCTTTTCTAAAGTAAAGCAACATTCACAAGTTTCTGGTGTTAGGAATTAGACACATTTTGTGGGGGACCACCCTTCAATCCATTACAGTTGCCCACAGAATCAGGGAAGTGTCAGGACCTATATCTTTGTTGTTTAAAAAAAATTTTTTTCCATCTCTGTATCATATGGACTTCAGTTTGTGGGTGCTGTTTAGTGGCAAGGGAAGCCAAGCTTCAGGGCATCTCTTAGCTAAGGCTGGCCTCCCGGGCAAGTGGTCACTCCATGGCTTGGCTCCTCCTGGGCCCCCCACTCTCCTCGTGTGCAGCAGCCCCCTGCCTGTGACCTGCTCCCTATGGTGGGTACGTTACCCTCAGCCACTAGAAACCCCAGGGAAGGTGGGGACCATCTAAATCTCATGCTGTGGAAGTGTCTAGCACAACTATAACCGACGCTACCCTAGACACGTGATGGAAATTAGTTATCTAGTGCGACTCCAGTGCAGCTAGAGCCTCCAGCTTCTCAGGCCAGTCCTTGGAGCTCCCGCCGCTGTGGGTGAGACTCAGCCTGTGCAGTGGACCCTCTCTGCTCTCCCTGACCCCAGAGCAGCTTCATTTCCAAGTGAGGACACGGAGGCCCCGGGAAGGTGAGCTAATCACCTGGGCGTGTGCACCTTATGGTGTCCCAGTGCACTTCCCGTCTCAGAAACAAATCAGATTGCCTGCCCCTAGCTTTCTAAATTAGGACTTTCTTTTTCACCTTCACAACTGCTAGGCGTTGCCCTGATTTTCCTTTTATTTTTTAACTGCTCCCTACCGCACACAGACATATGGAGCCTGTCACCCTCCAACGTGACTTATAACGTACAGTACAGCCATTCTGGGCGGCAGGTTTCAGGCACCATCTGCTAGCCCATATAAAACAAAATTTATATTGAATGGGATTGTAGAAGAATCATCACGGCCTAAATTGAACATTGTTTGTTGGGAAACAAAGCATATGTTGGAAATTGGGTTTCTGATTCTTGGTGTGGGGCCATTTGAGTTTCGGGGGAGGAGGGGAGCCTGCTCCGGCCTCAGGGTGGCCCTGCCACGGTTTCCCGGGAGCAGCTCCCGGACGGCGGCCCGTGGGTGAGATGCTGGCCTCTGCAGAAATGTGAGCATGCCCTGGGGAGACCTGCTGTTAGAAAATAACAACCCTGAAACATCACATTGACTCTGCTTTTCCCGTCGTTCTTTGGGTTGTTAAAATTTGGGGAAGAGTTGGCAGCATTGGCAGCGTCAGCTCGGGCAAAGGTTTAGAGGACAAGAGCTAACATTTTGAGTTTGGGGAAAAATAAAGAAATAAAGCTAGTGTCAGTCTTTAGCTTGGTCTATGCCATATGGCAAACACAAGGCCGAACCCGGCCCTCCACCTTGTTTTATCCAGCCCGGCACCTTGTTTCCACCCAGCGGCAGCGCTGAGCTCTCACTTAACTGTTAAGGAGCAGTTACATGTATACAGTCCTAAAGTTACATTTGGCCCTTTGAAGGCAACCTTGAGGCTGATGTGGCCGCCAGTGAAAATGAGTTTGACACCCCTGGTCTATTCATGCCTAAGGGATTTGCCTATTTGACATTGGGGTAAAGAGACATTGAGGGGGGTTGGAGGAAAAGGGGTTGGACTGCAATTTTCAATGACCAAGGCCCTCAGACAGCACTGCGTTGAACCCACGGGACAAGCCTCTCAGGTGTCTGTTGTCCCCAGTTTTCAGAGCAGGGAACCAGGCCGAGAAAGTCTGTTGTCTGTCCAAGGTCAGCCAGTAAAAACGCCAAGTGAAATCACTGATGTCCAGTGTCACCTCTTAATGGACCCAGGAACGCCAGGAGGGTCCAAAATATTTGCGGGGGCTGTTTTCCTTCTTGAGTACATTTCCCAAGGCGACACTCTGCAGGGAGATCAGCCAGGAGCTGTCCTTGCAGAAAGGAGCAGAGGATGACATTTGGGGCTGAGCGCTAGGGTGAAGGCCGAGCTGGGAAGACCAGGTGTGTGTGATAGACCCTGTTCTCTTCCCACCCCTGCACCCCCCACCCTGACTGCAGCCCAGTGGGGCCCTTGAGTTGGGGTCCTGCTGCCAGCCTGAATCTTGCAAACTTTACCTGCATTGTTAGGTGCATTTTGATCCTATTTTAAGTGGCCATTAGAGCTACTATACAAGGTGCTTCGTTACATCTCAGATGAAGCATCTTATTGAACCCTTGCAATAACTCAGGGTGGATGGGGCGGTTGTGGCCATTCCCATTCTACAGACTAGGAAACAGAGGCAGAAGCTTACCTGGTTTGCTTGTCTCCCCGTCCTGAGGCAGAGTGGGATCTGGCTGCTAGGCTGTCAGTCCCTTGGGCGTTTTTAGGTGACAGCCTCGCTTTGAAACTCCTCTGAGGGCAGGAAGAGTGGCTGCACTTTTGTTCCTTAGCTTCCCCTTCTCTGGGGAGGATTATGTCATCAATAAGCTCCTCTCCGGGTTCCCTGCAGCCTTTGTCTCTTCGGTAACACAGTCCTGACTCACTCCATTTTGGTTTGGATTTCAGCCGCTGAAACCTAATCCCTGATCCTGTTAGCTGAGAAAGCATCAAATGCTAATCCAGTGTTTTGAAAGAGTCAGGAAAGGCAAGCAGACTCAGAGACTCAGCTCATTCTCTAGTAACAGGAACTGAAGCAAGCCTATGAGGAAGATGATTTTGAGAGGAAAGATCTCAGAGCTTCTGAACAGATGGAGAAAAAGTGTGGTTCGTGAACCTGCAGCATCAGCAACACCATTCTGTTTGTCAGAAATGCAGAATGTGGGGTGTGCACTCCCTTAGGACCCTCAGCGGAGGGGCCGCGTTCCCGTTCACTGGTCTAAGCCATCCCTGACTTGTTTGTCTCAGCTCAGGCCGTGGACTGAGCTCCGGGAGGGCATGAAACGTGGACTCCAACCTCCCTTTTCTGGTGACCAGGTGAGAGGGAACTTCAGGCAAAAGCAGCAGACAGTCCAATCCGGGATTTCAGAGCAGGCCTTTCGTTGGGGGAGGCAGTCGGCGGATCAGAAACCAAATGAATGGCCAACCTCAACATGTATGGCTGAGTTAGCCAAAACCCACCAGGTCAAACTCCACCTAGAGCATTTGAGCTTTACGTAAGCAATATCGAGTTTCTTGTCCACGAGGGCAAAGGTAAAATAGCCAGCGTGTTATTAGCGGTGGGAAAGTTGGCCTGACCCTCTTTCCGCTGGGAGCTGGAGCGGTCTTTTCTCTCATGGCTCAGTTCCCGAATTAACTGTTGTCCCTGAAACTGAAATTGGAAGCATTGCCCTGAGCACAAGCAATTTCATTCCCCTCCGATTTCTTTTCCAAGTGCAGGGTAGCTTGGAGCTCAGCGCTGCCCTGCTCTGCAGCAATGCTCCCCGCTGGCCTGTCCCTCTTGACAATGTCATCTTAGAGATAAATCACAGCCCAGGAAATCAGAGGAAAATGCAACCCCAGGGGAACTTGGCATTTTCTCAGCTTATCACACTGAGTTTTTGGCAAGTCTTCTAAACTTTATGTGTTTGAAATGTTTCCTTAGTAGATTATGATTACCTTGCCCTCTCCCCTGGGGTGCCCGGTGCAGGTTAATGAGAGGAGGCAGAAGCTTAGACTGGGGGGCGGGGCGGGGGGAGTAGCCTGTAAACATATCGTGCACAGAGACTAGGCATGGGTGAGATTTTTAAAGAAAGGATGCACCATTGACACCACCCCAATCCGCATGAACCCCCTTGCTGCTCTCGGGCCTGTTTACAGTGCTGGCCATCAGAGTCGCGAGGGCTTGGGGGACTCCGCGGCCAGCACAGCCGACCTTCTCGACCTCCTGCCACACACCTTGAGATGCATCCCCACTGCCTTCAGAATCACATCTCACAGCTTCCATTTCTGCGTTCTGATCTTTGCTCACTTCTTCAAGCTCGATTTTTATCACTTCCCGTCTTGCCTTTGCTGTAAGGTCATTTTCTATTTTCTAATATTCCAGCCTCTCCCTCTCTTCCCTTCTCTCTCTCTCTCTTCAGGGCACTTTTTGAAAACATGATGTTTGCTGTTCTTTTTGCTCAGAATACTCTTTTTCTCTCATTTTCCCAGATCATACCTCCTGGCCAGGCCTCCTGACCCCTGAGGTCTCTGCTGCCTGCTCGGCTTCCCTGAGCCTGGGCCGTGGGCGTCTCCCACGGTCCCACCGAGTCTTGTGTTCGAGCCCTTTCTGGTCACTCCCTGCTGTTTCATCTTTCTCTCCCATCAGACCTTCAGTGGTTCTCAGCCTGGGTTGCACGTTTAGCATCACCTGGGGACATCTGAACGCTCCAGTTGTCCAGATCACACCCCAGACCTGTGAAATCCTGGTCTCCAGGGGTGGGAGTCAGGTATCAGTGATTTTAACAATTTCCTGGTGCTTCCAGGGTATAGGTCAGTAGGAGAACCATGGTACCCGGCTACGAACTCCTGAGAGCAGGGTCCCTTAGAGCAATGACTGTCACGCCTGGTACGTGACTGGCATGGAGTGGAGTTTGTTGCATGAATGAGAGAATGAGGTGCTGGGGCCTCAGCTCTGTGGACCCTGAGCTCTGGTTCCCAGGTCACTACTGGAAGGCCCGGCTCTTAGAGATTCGAGACCCTGAGAATTATCCTGAACAGAAATCAGCGAATTCCATTTTTAGGAAATGTGACCAAATTAACCAGATTCTTTAATCACCCTTCCTCTCCAACACCCGGCCCTGCACTCATTCTCTCCCCAGTGAGAAGCCCTTCTGAGAAAGCCACAGGAGATGAGATGAGAAATGGCAGGAGGCCGCAGGTCTTACAGAAAGTTCTTATTTGGCTGTGACGCCTGCTACGCGTCAACTTTCTGCTGTAACATCCCCATGGACTGGATATTCTTGGCATTTCAGATAATGTATTTGAAAGGGCTTTGAAAACCATAAAGCAACGTTGTTATTATAACTGCATTTCATTCCCAGAACTGATTGATTGTTGAGCTAATAGGGATGTAATGGGAAAAGGTGCAGTCGGGGCCTCAGTGGGGAGTGAGTGCCGGAATGTCCTGAGGAAGGGCTGTGGGCAGGCAGAGTGGGGGACCCGGGAACTCAGAGAAAGCGTGGGCTGCTTATCATTCCCGGAGGGTGAACTCCGTGAGCTCCGTGAGGAAGGAGGTTATCCTGCTTAATGTGCATTTCCTCAAGGCCTGACACAATCCCTGGTTCTAGTCACTTGTCAATTACCAAGATCAATCAACTAGGGGCCATCTGCTAGTTAGGATCCTTTGACTTCCAGGCATTAGAAAACCAGCTTAGATTCATCTCAGCATAAAAAGATTTATTGGAGGGGTTGGGAACGTTCCAACCCCGGGGCCTCGGGCCCCCTTGGCAACACTGACGTCTGCTTCTCCTGTTTGTGCGGTTCCTTCTCCCCTCTGGCAGGTGGGCTTGGGGTATGCAGAGGGCCCAGGGGCAGCCGATGGCTCTGAACTTACATTCTCCCAATCTGACCTCCTGAGAGCAAAGCACTATCTTTTAAGTCTCAAAATCCGGTGGGAGGAACTGTGGTTGGGAAGGATGGAGAGGGTGCCAGGCCTGGCCCAGCTGCCGAGGCAGAGGGTGGGGGTGCCCCTGTAAAACCACTGGAAGGCAGATGCTCTTCTCAGAACCTCACCCCTTGCTGGCGTGTCATTACAGGAGACCCCGCCTCCACCAGCTGTTTCCCAGTGACAGGAAGCAGGTTGGATTAACAGGTGGTGGCGGCTCATCGTAGATTTTTTTTGGAAAGGTACAGGAAGGTCTGTGCCCCTTGCAGGGCAGTGACAGTTAGGTGAATGTTGAACTTTTGCAAACGCTGGGCTAAAAATCCATTTGTTGAGAAGTCATGCTCACTTGCTTTTATGCTTTCTATCAAAATTAGGATGACGTTCATCCCACAGTGTCCCAAGTCTGATTAGAGAATGTTATGATCATGACTTTTGTCCTGAATGAAATAACAAGAATGGGGGTGCCCACCCTGCCCCGGAAAGGGCCACACAAGTTACCTGCTGAGCTCTGGCTGCTGTGTGGGCCACCGCCCACTGACTGGGGGGCCCTGCCCATGCGGGGCTTGAAGGCTCTGGGGCTGATGAAGCCTGCCCCCCCCCACTGTCTGCAAGCACAGGTGCTAGTTAAATATTGGCTGGTGCTTCACTTAATAGGGGATGGGAGAGCGAAACCCTTAAACAAGCTTCTGTTTCCCACTGTGTTAAACACCCCATGGCATCACAAGTGAAAGACTCCAAGGTGGACTTGCCCAGAACACAGAGGCTCTTACCAGTCACATTTCCAAGGTTTTTTCCCATTGGCTCAAAGCTGGGGAAGCAAGGCAGAGCGTGTGCCAGCTTCCCGCAGAGTGGAGGACCGGAACGAGCCTCTCTGATGAGACAGGTGTTGCGGGAGTTGGGGTAGCGAGGAGGAAGTGATGACAGGGGCAGGAGGATGTCCCTGAAGGTTTTCACTTGCCCGTGAAGGTTGGGGCTGGCCAGAGTGATGTGCGGGACAGAAGTTGCTGGATCCTGCTTATATGAAAGAAACAGAACAGGCGGCCTGGGGACGGTGCACAGGAAGCAGGCGGGGGACAGGGCAGATCGCGAACACGGTCGGGACCCTGGCCTAGGGAGAGCCAAGTGCGGCCCCAAAGAAGAGCTGAGGTCTGGGTCAGAAGGGACTGTCGGGGGAGGGCTGAGTCCGGAAACCCACTCGTGGCTGGGCAGGTCTCCCAGCCCTGGGAGAATGAGGTGTGGGTGGGCTTCTCTACATTGTCTCAATTCTTCTTTTCCGGGCCAGCGGCCCAGGATAATACAATGATAGTGGCATTCTTACAGCTCACATTGAACAGGAAGCAAAGGACTGTTTTTATTTTTATTTTTTGTAGCCGACTTTGCAGATAAAGTTCCCATACAAACAGCTACTATATGCCACCTTTTAGAGTTCTTTGGTGAAACTACAGTGTAAAATAACAGGGATTTTAAAAATCACTTTTTAACAAAGACTTTACTTATTTATTTTTAGAGAAGGGAAAGGAAGGAGAGAGGGAAACATCAACTTGTGACTGCCTCTTGGCTGCCCCCTAGTGGGGACCCAACTGCAACCCAGGCATGTGCCCTGACTGGGAATCAAACCAGTGACCCTTTGGTTCTCAGGCCAGCACTCAATCCACTGAGTCACACCAGCCAGGGCTCTAAAAATCATTCTCTAACTTCAACACTGTACCCACACTTCTGCACCCTGTCGGCATAGTTGCTCTCAGGAGACAAAGGACTATTGATGTACTGAGGGAATTCATAGATACATGGCTGTCTAGAGCTCACCTCCCCCCTTGCCCACAGACAGACAGCTGGAAGCAGTGGGCAGGAGAGTGAGAGAACAGGGCTGTTCCGCATGAGGGGTGGGGCTGAATTCAGAGTTCGTGTGGACGCAGAGGGGGTGAGGGGAGAGGTTCAGCTGAGCGGAGTGGTGGGAGGCCAGGCCTTGAGGACAACAGGTGATCAGCAGAAAGCCTTCTGCTGGCCTTCCTGGTGTAGGACTGGCCCGGGAACCTGTAGAAATGGCCACAGCCGCCCTCCAGCTGTGGTGGTTTATTGACAATATCTCTACGATGATAAGAGGTAAACGTGTAGTACTCACTGTAAAACCATAAAGGCAAGCAGTGTTTGTAAGTTTTGCTTTAAAAATACTCAATTTTTTCATGTTCTTTCATTTTCTGTAACGAAAGCCCACCTCTAGCCATTGCCCCAGGATCTTTGGTCACAGCGATGGCACATCCCCGCCTTGGGGGGCGGGCGTTGTGGGAGTCAGGGAGGGGGCTGTACCTCCTGTCTGGGTCCATGTGGGGTACGGGGAGGGAGCCCCAGAAAACCCGGCAGGAATGCAGGTGGGGGGCCCCTGTCCCTCCCACTGAGCAAAGGCCCTGGTGAGGCACTCTTTTCTTGCTTATTTTTTGTTGTTAAAAAAAAATGCAACCTTGTATCAATAAAAACTTTAAACATCCCGAAGTGTGGAAAGAACAGCGCCCTGACTCCTGCATGCACCCACAGTGAGTCAACGATCATAAACATTCGGCATGTCTGTTTCATTCCTGTGACCGACTTTGGTTTTTGTGGGAGCCTTGGCCTGTATTTGCAGGACGTCAGGACACTCGGGCTGTGTGGCCTTAAGCTTGTGTTTTCTGAATGTAAGT